ATTTATAGTATATTTAATTCAATATACATATATATATATTGAAATTACTATGATATATCATTTTAAAAAAAAAGAGAAAAAAAAAAATCAAGTGATTGCAGTGCACATTATATGCGTGTATTTAAAAACTGCAAAAAAGAAGACAATAATTATTCTTAAGAGAAAGCTTGTAAAAAAGCACGTGTGTAAGTAATGTAATTGCAAATTCTCATATATTCATGTACATACTACAAAGCTTATACAATTTGACAATGCAAGAATCTATAAGAATTGGTTACCTACTCTTAGGATACATTTTTTTTTTTCCAAAAAAAATATGAGAACAATAATATTAATTTTATTTTCTCACACTTAATATATATATATATAAAAAAAACGCGGTATCTTCTCTAAAGTTCTTATTTATCTGTAATAATAATTATTTTAAACATAATATTAAGCACGATAATGCACTTTTACGATACGAATGATTAATTCATTGCGCAATCATATTATTTGTTTTTGTTAAATATATAAATATCTCGATTAATTTGTTTCTTATTTTTTTTCTATAAGAGAATGTATAATCTTTTAATATTTATACGATATAATAATAGTTAATTTTGAGAATTATTTATTTATATACTCTCATATATACACACATACGCATACAAACAAACACACCCGCATATCTATCAAAATATACACAAATTCAGAAAATTATAATTCTTTAGTTACAATTTGTAGACATGACTTATTATTATCAGTGCCTGATACACTACTTGAGACTGTTCTCTAAAAATTACTATAATAAAACTACAAGAGAAGAAAAAGAAAAAGAAAAAGAAGAAGAAGAAGAAGAAAAAAGAAAGAAAAAACAATACAAAATCTTAATATGGCACACGATTGGTTACATATTTAACACATGCAATCTTAAACATTAATTATCATAAATAAATATTAAAAAAAAAAATGGAAAAAAAAATACATTAGAAATGAGAACAATGGGATTTTAGAGAATGAATAATTCAAAGCTTACATTATGCCTTATAAACGACAATATTATCTGCATAATACAAATCTGGCTTAATTAAATGGATATAAATATACAAATTCAATGTATATTGCTATATCTGAAGAGTAATCTTAATTAACAATTTGTAGTATATGCGCACGTGCGCGTTTACACTATCGTAATATACGTACATGTGTATTCGCACTCTCTCATTAATAAATGCCGCGTAAACGTGTTCGATATATTATTACAATAATACAATATGACTGAGTTCGCAGAAGAAAAAAAAAAAAGAAGAAGAAGAAGAACAAAAAAAAAATAATTACACACGTACGCGCGAACATACAACATAAATTGTAATTTATCTACAATCATTTTTATTTTAGAGTTGCACTAAAAAATAATTTATATTGAAATATTCTTTTTTTGTTTTTTCTTTTGTATTTTCCTTTTTCCGTTATTTATTTATTTTCATATTGTTCTTTTTCTTTCTCGAATATCTTTTTTGTTTTTTTGTATAAATATATATAAATAAGAAATATAATTAATTTATTATAAGAGACAATTGAAATTATTCTTTAAGTATGATATAAAGCAATTATTATTAGAATTTGTTAAGTTATTGTTAATTTATTATTAAACGAAGAGTGCAATCCTTCGTTTTAAATTTTAGTAATTTCAAATCTAAAATAATAATGATAATACGCAACTACTCAGGTTTTTCGCCTGAAAAGCTTTATCGATTAATAAATATCGGCTATAAATGCCTACAATAAAATATAACAAATTACAAATATATGACAATAAAATTAAATATAGATAATATAATAAGGAAAGTGTAATCTAAGCGTGTTGTGTTTTATGATGTGGTAGTGTACAATATTTGTAATTGTTAGATACAAGAATAGAGATTTCATTTTGTAACTGTATAGCAAATGTAGTCTTATAAATGTTATTTTACAGTACAATTGATTAATGTTTTGCTGAAACTTCTGCTAACAAAAGTTAAAGCAAAAATTAATTGAAAAAAGTATATTCAATCGATTATAAATTACAAATATTATTTTGTATTATCAAAATAATACGTAATTATAATTTAAATTTTATTGAAAAACATTGATCCTACAAGTAATCTAATTTATTGTAATATTAAACAAAACTGCAATCTAAACTACTGACAATAATTAACAGTAAAAATGAAAATTAAAATTAATAAATTAATAATATTATTAATTAAGAGACAAATAAAAAAGCATGCTTAGAATAATCATATTTTCTTTCTACAATGGCATCACACAATCTATGTATGTATCTCTTAAAATCAATGATAAGTTTGATTATTTTTTTATAAATTTTAATTTATAATATACAACTATCTCTTACTATTGTTATGAAGAAAACAAAATATATATATTACACATGCTTTCCGTATATTTTTTATAGAATACTATATTTGTTTAAATGATAACTTGTAATCTATATATTTTATATGCATTTAAATGTAAATATAAATATATATTTCATTTAGTATGAATAGAATAAAATTACCTTTATTAAATCATGCACAAATATTGTATTTTCGCGCAGAATATGAAAAGATCTAAATTTTATCAAGATTATAAATTACATTGATTGTCTCTATTTAGATTTTTTTTCATATATGATAAAATTCTTGATTTTATTAGTGGAATAAGCAATGTTTAAGGAATATATATTAATATAAATTTCTCCATCATTTTTGTGTAAGTCATATAAAAGAAAATATTATATTTACACAAATACTTCCATATATCATTTTTCTTTATTGCGCTCTCAACATATTAAACTCAATGTAATCTTGCCTTTAAATATAACACATTTTATTATGTAAGAAAAGGAGAATAATGAATGACCATATTACTTAATGTCAATAAAATCAAATGGAAAATGTCAATATTATAATATTACGTAATAACGTATCTATATGCAAACATCCATAAATCAATGTGTATAGGTGGCTTTAATTAATGTAATTTCTTCGTGTCACTAAACTTCTAGATTTAACTACTGAACTTTTAGATATAATATATAAGAAGCTTAAAATTAGAAAAATATCCGCTCGTTTCAAGAAGATATATTGTGAATTATTATTTATTTTCTTAGTTATATAAACAGTTACAAGTATGTCATTAAAATATTTATAGATGCTAATTTGGAAAATAGTTAGTCTCTTAAATTTCTCTTACTCGCTATTAAATAATACGTATATGCAAAATACATTTTTCAGTAAAAGCAATTTCACTGACTGTGCTTCATGTTAGTGTGCATCCGTGTATGCCGCACATGGCGTACATTACACTCAATTATAAGCGAATAAATTTGATCTTAATACATGGGAAAGAAATACTTATTGTTAGCTTGCAAAATTATAGTTATTAAGATGAAATTATTATACGCATCTATATGTTTCAGAGTCTGATATAAAATTGCAATCTATTCTCTATAATTCAATAAATCGTGAATGGTACAAGTCGTATATAAGTGAACACATTATTATAGTTTTATTTTTAATGCCCGGATCTTTGTTTGTTTAAAAATATTTTTTGTTTTTTGATTATATATATTTACAAAATATTTGATCGTTGATTAAATCACAAGAAATACATGCTACAAATAAACAGAGTATATTTTTAACATAAAACAAGAATATAAAACTACTTTAAAAATGATAAGATTTTGAGAAATAATTATTTTTAAGCTTTTACGGTACACATACAACAAACACTTTTTATAAATCTTATTATCTCTGAAAAATATTTATTATATATATATTAAAAGCAATAGTTCTTATTTAAAATTGGTATTTTTATTAACAATATAATGAAATATGCTCTGTTTCATAGCTATGATACTATGTTTATGACCAATATAATTATATATACGCAGTATCATAATGCAATATCAAAGAAAAGGGCATATCAAGGAGTATTCGTTCTTTTTTCTGCTGTGGAATAATCATTTATATATTGTCTAATCTGTCGTAAACTATAATAATATTATCATTATAACATGAGTGTATACATCATTAAATAAAAATGACATTTTGAAATGTGTCTCTTATAAGTTTTTAATTGTTAATACCTCTATGAAATAAGAAAAAAAGGAAAGGAAAAATAACGCATAAGCATATATATGTAAAAATTATATAGGATAAAATTATATATTAATGGCTATGATATTTATTGAATTTGCATGAGTTTATTTACAACTTATGCTTATGATATTACATAAAAGTAATTATATTAGGTATCAACGTCATACATTTTATAAAATAGTCTTGTAATTAATACATAGACGTAATTGTCTAGTATCTCATATTTACACTATCGATTTGAAAAAGCCAGCCATGAGACCAAATATATACACGATTGAAAAATATGCGTATACGTATATGCGTTCATGTATATAGCATATGTATTTACGTATATATGACTTCAGTGTATATGAAAGTAGCATAAGTTACACGCATCGTTTCGAAAAGAATTCAAATTATGAATCATATTAGTACGAAATAAAATAAAAATAAATTATTCAACTTTATTTTTTTTTTGTATATTTACCTAACTACCTTTTTAATCATCGACACACGCATCCATGTGTATAATTGTATATAATAGTATGTATATATGTTATTCGACATTGATTATAAATTATGTTACAAGATGCATGATATCTATTAATTTTTACGAGTAATTTTGATGAAATAAACTAAAGTTTGTTTTATTTTAAATAAACTTTCGTTGATTCATATAACATCTTCGTTAAAATATTTTCTTAAAACTAAATAAAATTTGCAAGAAAAAGAAAATAAAGGAAAATATATCGACAATATAATTTTACTTTTAGCACAATTGTAAATTTATGCTATATGTGTATAATATTTGCTATTGCAGGTACTACTATAATTGTTATGAATTATATTAAGAAATTCATATTAGCTTATTTTTGATTGCCAAGCATTATGTATAGACGCGTTTTGCTAAAAAATTTATACAAATTTCAACTCCCATTGTCACTTATCCTCTTTTATACTACAAAACATATATGCATTGATTTCATAAATCAATGTAGTAAAGATATTTATCTAATTGTCGTGCTCTAAGTAAATGCCCATAATATACAAATAAAATTACATTAAATATATCTCACGTATTTACGATATTTGATTACTTTGTAGTATGACGTGTCAATATTACATTTCAATAGAAATGAATACAGTGGTCAGACACCAGTTGAAGTTGGTGTGTTGTTTAAAGGTGGTTTTAACAAATCATGATATTGTAATAGAGCCTCACGTAAAGAACGAGTAACTTGTCCAGAAGCAGATGCAATTGTACATTCTACCAAGCATGGATATAATGCAATTAATTGTTCCCACACAGATCTATCAACTGAAACATACAATGTTGTTTTTAATTTACATATAATAACAATATTCTCTAGATTAATATTATAATTCTATAGAAATAAATATTATATTTAACGTGTTATACCTTTATTAGGAGGAGCTTTTTTAAGTGATATTACAAGTGTAGCAACGGCTTTTAAAACGAATGATATTTCCGATAATCTGTACCTAGAAAATGACACCATAAAAAAGTATTTTACAGGTATAAAAAAAATGCTTATAATTTATATTGTTCAAAATTTGCGTAAGAAATATCATCTGATATATATTCGGGTATATATTTATAAATATCCAATCTTATTTTCTAAATCATATTGATACTGTTACCTAGGTAATGGACATTTCCCACTGCGCCTTTCATTTTCAATGAATCTCCGTAGAACTTCTTGGAATCTATGTAAAAGTGCAGTAACTGCTAAACGACCCGCTACTCCACCTTCATCATTTTCTAAGGTTTTATTAGAGTCAGGTTCCAATTCATTATTTAATCCATCCAATAGAGAAAATTGTAATAATGTTTCAAAACATGTTTTTGCAAATTCTTCCCTTAACTTTGCTTCACCGCTGCTTTCTATAATCATATATTAATATTTCTTTTTCTAACAAATGTAAATGTATTATTAAAAAATAAATCATTTCTTATGATTACAAGCATATAACAATAATATTACCAATATTCACTGTAGTCGCAGAATGTATAGATCCTTTGTTTAGAAGCATAACAACTCGCAAAATAAATTGATGAGGTATATATTGTGAATGTGGTAATACCTCATCTCTAAGTAATTCCATCACTTGACAGTCAACAGCTTCATCCGCTTGAATTTCTTCAGCTCCACGTTCTGCATTTATTACACTTAAAATGATATAAAAATGTTGAATTCTCAATTCTATAAAAAATTATTTATAAATTAAATGGGGAATATAGATGAAAGACAGTACCTTTTTGGAAATAAAAAGTCATCCAATGTGCTTGCAAGTTCAGGCCACATGCTTTGAAAATGCTCTGGATATTTACGTGCTAATGGTAAACCAGTATGCAAAACAGCTAATAAACTTGTAACAGCTAATTTCCATGTTGTTGAAGAAGGACATGCATACTTCATAGAGAGAGGCACATGAAGAGCTTCTATTATATGTTTCAATACTTGTCCATCAATTACAGCCATTTCATGAGCAGTCTTTTGATATAAATTTACAACCATGGATAATGCTTTTTCTCCAAAAGGAACATAATTCATGATCACCCAGTCAGCCTAAATAAATGAAGTCAGCTTAAAAATGCTTCAACACTTACCATAAACTGTTCCAATAATAATTAAAGATACGTACAGATACACCTCTAATTTGCGAAATGTGTTTAGTTGGTATTCTACCATAAGTAGGAGCTTCACAAGCAAGCTTTGAGAAACTTAATAATTGAAGAAATATTAAAACTATCATTGTTCTCAGGTTTTCAGGTCCATTCAATGCTTCCTAATTATAATTGATTACTTTTTAGATATCCAAGAAGATCAAACCGACTAAGGGCTATCTAATAAAATAATATTGCACCTTTTGAAGAAGCTCCATAGAATGTAGTACACCATCTTGTAAATGTGTAAGAACAACATCTGGTACAGTGGGTAGAATGTAAGGAGTTGATTCCCCATGTACTGGAACTGCGACTACATTTTTTAATACAACACATAATTTATCTAAATCAGTTCCTGTAAATCTGTAATAAAGAAAAGTAAATATCTACGTATATATTTATATATAATACGATAAACATTTTTTTAATTATAATGAATTACGTACTTTTTTCTAATATGTTGAAAGACAGCTGGAAATATATGAACAAGAGCAGTCAAAAAAGCTTGTGAAGGAACATAAGGTTCTGTTTCATTCTCTTGTGGAGGTGTAGTACTTTCTGTACCAATATTAAGCCAAACGCGCCATGCTACTATCCAAAGTGCTTCCGAATCAGCTGAATGCGTTACTTCATTATTATCACATCCTTTTTGTAAATATAAAATTTCTTGAAAAGATTTCAATGCTGCTAAAGATACCTATAAAAGATTTATATTATATATTTTTATCTGCTTAAAGTTTTATTCGTATGTTTAATTTTATAGTATATACTAAAAAGATCGTGCATACCTCGTTATTTTTACTCAGAGCAGAATTTTCTATAAATTCAAGAAGTAATGACCAAGCTCTAGGAAAATCACCTAGTAATTGTAATAGTTGACGCTTTGTATTAAACACTCTTGCAACACCACTTAATGTTAAAACCTATAAAATGATCTTTTTATTTAAAAAACATCAAATATCCAATTTTCTATATTAATTTTAGAATATATTAAATGCATACCTGTGTTTCTGCCCATTGTTTCTGCGCTGTATTTCTACTATGATGAATAAGTATGTTTCCACCAGTATCAACTTTTTCATTGCTTGCTGAATTAGATAAGCTTCTTACTTTACCTAATAATGGAAAAAGAACTTGCCAAAGCACAGCTTGCCATGTTGGCTGATGTAAAAGACTACCATGTGCAGAAATGGTAGAGAATAAAGTTTGACTAGCGGATTTTCGTACAGAAGGACGAGAATCCACACATAGATCACCTGTGTAATAGAAATAAATTTGAGAAAAAATATATTTGAATAATAATCTATAATAAATATATAATCTATACAGAGAAGAACTAAAAAGTTTACCTAATCTTGCATAAAGACACATCCATAGTTTATCAAATGGAGGAATATTTGTTGTACCAGGAAAATCAGGAAATACAGATGACGAGTCTCCACGTAAAGAAACACATAATTTTTCTTGATTATGATAGAAATAATCACTTATATTCCACTGAAATGTATAAATAACTCTTTCAATATTGATTCTATACTTTTCTCTACTTGATATGTGTGAAAAGCAATTAACTTCGTTTAAGAAAAAATGAAAGATTTTAAATAATATCTTATTTTAATAGACTAGACAACACTATATATATATAAACTAATTATTTTCAGTTAATAATAACTACGTTCTCACCATTAGGCCAACAGCTGTAAGTGATATATTTAATTCTTGCGTTTGCGATCCAAACTTTGCTGCTGTATCAACACATTGTGGGAGACATCGCCATGGCATTACTGGTAAGAAATCAGTTACTACTAGTTGAAGGCATTGAAAAGCAATGCGTACTAAAGCTTCACTACAAAAACAAAGATTTGTAAATCAAATATCTATTATTTAAGTAAATATTACTATTACACATATAAAAACCATGAAATATAATTTTACAATATAAATTTATAATATGATATATAATTACCCATGATGATCGGACACTGCTCCAATAATATCAAGAACTAGTGGCCAACCATGAAAAAGTGTTTCTCCAGCACCATGAAGAATTTGTAAAACACATTCTAATTGTCGCTGTCTGACATCTCCATGATGTACTGAAGATAATTCTGACAATGGCCCCAAAAGTAATGTCTGTAATTTCTGTAAAAACAAAATTACAAAATTAATTTCTATTCAATAATCAATATTAAACGTAAATCACACGTTCAGATAATATACTTTATAATAATTAATAACTATTAATCATAATAAATAATTATAAAATTTACTTGGTTGTCACGCAATGGTTGTGGATATTTATATTGTAATGCCATTTTTACAAGATACGTTATTGCTTCAACACCCCATTCTCTCATACGAATATGTGGATGTTGACATACTTCTAATAAATGATTTGTAAGTGGTCTCCATAAAACTTCGACGCGTGACAAATTTACTAGTCCTGTTTCTAAAAGTTTAGCTACAGCAAAAAGTGATGGTTCCTATAAAAAATAAATATAAATAAACTCAAAAATATGTTCTAATGAAGGTAAATACAATGTTTAAAATTATATCAAACACATACTCTATTTGAATATGCTAATTCCATTGCCTCGTGACTTAGTTTACAAAGAGCATCTATTAAATGGTGTAAAGCCACATCATCAAGATGCTGACTACTTTCAAATAATCTGCTTAACATAGCACTAAGTACAGGTAAATCTGCCATTACAGCATTAGTTAATACTGCATTTGGATCAGCAGCAGATCTTCCAGCTTTCAGAGATCCACCAGTAGATGGTTTCAAACCAAGAATCCAAACAAGATGTTGAAGAGTCGTTAGTACTAAATGCCAAGCACTACCAAGTATACTGCCATGACAATGTGCCAATGACAACAATGCACGCATACATTGAAGATTTTTTGCAGTTAACATAACAGGACCTTGATGTGCACCTAAGTATAATTATATTTAATATTTGATCACTCAGCATATAATAACGCAACATGCTTGAGTAATGCCCAATGTAATAAATGTAAAAGTATGTTGCACCATTTCACATTGTAGTTATCCGAAATGAGATAGTGCTACACTACCATTAAATCCCATGGTAGCAACCATTTAACATTTACATGTAAAGAACTAATTTTTAAAAATATTTACATACCAATAGGTAAAGAAGCTGTTGGTAAAGGAGTTCCAACAGCAACAACTTGATGTCGATGATCTGGTTCACCCATAGATAAATTATATTGATTTGATTCTTGTGTGCGGGCACATGGTATACCTTGAGGTGCATTATACAGTACTGTTAAGGCATAATGAGGTGGTAAAGAACCTTTACATATTGCAGTAATATATGCATCACGAGGACTTTGCAAATCCAGTTGACCACATAGAGCTGCATATGTTTGAATTGCTTTTAAAACATTTTCTGTAGCAGATTCATCAGTACTGAAAATGTTTTATGATATTTATTAAAATATCAAGTTAATAAGAAAATATAAATAATTTGAAAAATAATATCCCATGGAAAAGTACCTTGCATCGATCAATGGACTTAATGCTGCCAATAAACCACACCAACTGGAAGTGATCAGTTGTACATGCAATTTTTGTTCAAATTCAGTCGGTTTATAATGACTTTCAGCATTTTCTTCTTTTGTGCCATTAATTGCAAGAGCAATTGATCGTATTATATCTAATAGACATGCATAAGCTACACTAATTCCATAACCAATTGGTATTTGTGGTGGTTCAACTTTATCAAGCATTTCCAAACTGAAACACATATTTTTCTACACTTATAATTATGTAAATATCACACAGATCATATTTATAAGAATTCAATATTAGCAACAATAAAATATTAACCATATATAATAACTATTATTATGAATACCAGTACTGCTGCTCCTACTACTATTATATTATTAGAATGATAGCAGCAAAAGCAGTAATAACAACAGTGGTGGCAATAATAAAATTTTAAATCAGAGCAATGCCAAATAATAAATAACATTTAACAAAATTTAATAATAATCATTCTTACTAGGTAGATTTGGTATGTCCACTTGTAAATGATGCTACTACTGGTAGCCAAATACCGCGTGAATAAAATCCAGGTTGTGGAGATATGCCAGGACCAACGGGCATACCTGTGAAGATTGGAGAACCAGTACCTTGAGGTATTGGTGTATTTGCTGCTATGAAAAATATACATATATATTGATCATTCGTATATTATTTTATTTTTAAATCTATAATGTACTTACCTGTTCCAGTTTGACCAATCATTTGTGGATTAACAAAAAGGCTATGTACATAGGCACCTAAACTATTTACAATATCTTGAAAAATATTTGTTGCGTGTGGTTTCAAATCATAGCACTCACAAAAGTTTGTTAAAAGATCTGCTTGTACAGTCATCTTATGTAATACTTCTAATGCTAAAGCTCTTTGCCAGGTAGGCTTGTCTGGATCCAAAAATTTAACAATCAAAGACAAGAATATTTCACACTCAGTTACCTGAAATAAAATAATCCTTATTAAAATATTATTGAATTATATTTTTATATCCGATGTTAAGAATTTATTTACACTTACCAAAAGAGAATGATACTTCTGTATGAGGATAGACACAACTCTTAATAAACGCATACTAATCGGAAAATAAGGTTTATCGAGTGGCGTTGCTTGTTGTATCGATGCTGGCACAGAGTTACGATATTTAATATTAGGAGAAAATAATTTAATTACAAGCGCGCACACTCTTTCCTTTAGTAAGAAACTAAATTCAGGATGCTAAATAAAATAAAAGAAAGAAAATAAAATTATTTTACGAATGTTTTACTCTGCTTAAATTTATCTAAATAACATGTTTTGTTTTAAATACCTTAAAAAATACAGATGAAAAGTTGGTTAAAACAGATTCTAATAATTCTAAACCAAATGTTCTTGTCATTTCAGTAATCCCTATGAGCCAATATGGCTGATCAGCATTTACCAATTGTACTAAATCCTTTAAAATATACGAAACATTTAATCTTAATTTCAATTCTCTTTTTAAGTAGGTAGAAAAATCAATGAAATTACCTGAAACATTAAATATGCATCAGCAGCACAAGGTCCAAGACCTTTCGGTGCTTGATTTGTCGGAGTTTTTAATTCCTCCAAATTAACTTCTTCAATTTCTGGATGATCGAGCGTTTGTTCATCTTCTGCAACTACTCGTTCAAATACTAATGATACCAATTGTCTTACTGTTGCACCTGCTGTGTTGATAGTCGTACAATCCTTGGTAAAATGCAATCTAAAGCAAAGAACCAGATTCTGCAAGTAAAAATTTCAATTGATAATAATGAATTAAGTTTTATTATACATATCTTATTTTTATAGTTTGATATATATATATATATATATGTATATTTCTAATTACTCTTGCAAGTGTATCTCCATGAACAATAGTATTACTTGTAAGAAGAAGAGTTACAGTCTGTAAAACTTTAACTTCTTCGGTCCCTGTTTCCATAAGCATCCATAATGTATCTGTAATATAACGAGCACCTTTCTGATCTATAGCTTGCTGAGTTATTAATCGTTGCATTATACCTAAGCAAAACTGAAAAAAATTGAATATTATTATTAATATGTAATAATGTATAAATAATATGACGTTCATGTGATATCTTTTAATTATAATAATATAATCATCAGAAAATACTAACTTTAATGATTTTTATATCTTTACTTTCACAACCTTGAACTAAAGGATATAAGATTTGATTTACAATATAATATATTGGACCTCCAGATGCACTCATAGCAGACCTTATTTTTGTTATTCCTTCCTCGCATGACTGTAAAAAATGATTTCATATTAATATATAATTTCTATTATTGCATTAATGTTAATTGATATGAATTATTTACAACATATAATTATTTCTATTAAAAACAATCATAATATTATGCTTATTAGTATAATAGTAACTCTAACGTTACATTTTAAAACTTAACCTACATTTAATTTAAGTAATATAATAGCATAGTGTATTAAAATGATATAAGTAATTGTAACTTACTTCCTTTATTTGAGGATATTTTTTCTTACTTTCAGAAGCAAGGAACTTCAAATCGGCTTGGAGGGATTCTAAGAATTTCGAAGTATTATCCTGACTACTTGCGACAAGTGTGTTCGCCATCGTGACAAAGTATATGTTCCCTCGTTAATAAGTTTAAATATATAAAGCGTCACTCTAGCTCATGATAAATTAATACTTTTTCACAAATTTTAATACTTTTGTAATAAAATTCATATCTACATAATAGTAGGTGAGTTGGCATATCGTATGCCGATTATCAGAAATGACAGCAACTAAGTGACGATCCATTAAATTTAGCCTTTAAGAAATTATCTATTTTGCAAACATGATTACATTGTTGGTCTTAATAAAATGTGTGAACTGATCTTAACCGAATTTCCAATCAAAATGACAATTTCTTTTATACAGAAATATTCGTATTAAAAGTTTACTACGATTGGATAAGACGTTTATGTTTTTTGTAATTAAATCCAATCATTGTCAATATATATTTACGTAATTTTTCAATGATTGGCTATCGTGGTATCAAATTGTACTCAACTATATTCTTATTGGTCATTGTATTTTCAAAGTTTACTTCGAAAATTTATGAAAATATATTTTTAAGCAATATTTATACATATCATTTATAATTTCTATATTTTTTTATATCTATATCCTTTATTTTATTTATATTTTTATTTATATTTTTTATAATCATAATAATGTAAATTATTATGATTATAAATTTGTTATAAAATTCATATTTTTGAAATTTCATATTCTCACATGATATTTTACCTATTTACACAAATAAATTTTCTATAGGATCCCTTTCTGAACTCTAGGAGGAATTGAATTTCGAACTTTCTCTTTTTGTATAGCTTTCTCAAAATTTTTAAAAAAAGATTTAATAAAGATAAAGACAGAGTTCTGAGGAAAAGTTTGTAATATTATATCCAAACTACCAAAGATTTGAAAAGCAGAAAATAATAAATTATCTGAATATTTTACTTATAGTAGAATTTGTTTATGGAAAATTTAAAATTCTTATAATTTTCTATTTATTTCTATTCTACAATCTACTATACGATTTTTCATCTTTATGTAATTTATATGCAAACAAAAATATGCAAAGACCTACATCTATAAATTTTCTGATTTTTTTATATATATTCATGTTAATAACAATTTCTTTATTGAAAATTTAGAATTATTAAATATATTTTTTTCGAAAACAGCCATATTGTTTTTTCAACAACAGGTTGAGAACCAGTGGACACGTCATTCTAAAAATATCCCATTGCATTCTCCCCCCTTAGGAGTCATCAATGTAGGGGAATGTAAATCCAAACTTCTAAAAGTGGCTACTAAGTGGCGCTGCGGTCAACAATACTTTTTTCTTTTTTATTAATATTTATTAATTATAAAAATATTTTATTTATTTCTTCCGATTAATATTGTCAAAATATATATTTAAATTGAAATTTTTTCAATTTTTCTTTAATATGAAAATCCCATAATTGTAAAATTTTCTGGTAATTTCCGTTAGTGGTGCATCGATGTACAGTCGTTTCCGGGACGGTCATTGCAGTTCGTGCGCTTGGTCGGTTGGTCGTTGTTTCTTCGTCAGGTGATCGTAATAATTTCTAACCTAGTGCATCAAGTGCAAGGTTACAAGTTTTATACTTTTGAGTTTATAAAATATATTAAATATTCTCAAAATGCCGAAAAGATCTGCTAAAGCTACTTGGGATAATCGTGGTGGTCGAGTGAATAATACTGAGGATAAACATTACTTTGGTAAAGTATCATTTATGATCTAACTACGCTTTACAACGCTTGTGAATTCAGAACAAAGAAAACTTATTCTCGATGTCTTATTCATTATTTGGATTTGTTTCCACTTATATATATATATATATCGAAATAATGATTAATATTTAATTTTTATAATATACTTTATCTCTATAAATAATATTTTTACATTATTCAGTAAAATTAATTTTTTCCGAATTTTTCATTTTTTTTTTACTTGTAAAGATAGTAGATATCTAATAGCTGTAATAAATATCGAAAGCTAGAAAAACAATATATTATTTAATATTCTTTTTATGATTCAGGACACGATGATAGACACGTGAGACGGGAAGGGAGATATACTTCTCGACCTCGTGTATCGTTCAAACAACAACCAAGGCCCTCTAGAAATATGAGAATAGCGAGAGAAATACTTTTAGAGGCTTTTAAAGACGACGATTCTCCGATGGGAGGTAATTCTAATAACAATAACAACAATAACAGACAAGTTGTTGTTAGAGGTAGAGGCCGAGGCTTATCGAGGGGAAGAAACAGCCCTTTGCCACCCAGAGGTTTCCGAGGTGGCATACTACCTAGACCACCACTCTCCCTCGGAGAAGCTAATTGGTATAAAATCATTGTAAGTATCACGTTACAATATACATACATTTATATTATGCCAGATTAATTTTCTGCAACTTTCTGTTTAACTCTTTTAATATTTGACAATGATACATTGTCACATCACACATTTATTTTTCCTAATGATTTTATAGAAATATTATTGCTACGATATTCAGCTAATATTCAAATACATTTGTTATTAACCCTTTCGCTACGAGCGACATCCTGCGTGTACGAACACGCACGTATCCATACGTGCGATGTCCTGTATGTACGAGCGTCGCTTATAGGCGACATCCGTGCGATGTCCTGTGTGTACAAGCGTCGCTTATAGACGGCGTCATCTGCCTGACGTGAGACCCGCTCCGTACAGTGCCGCTACTGCGGCGGCACGGTGGTCCGTACAGCGGCGTCACTCCGACGGAGCACACTGTCGTAGCGAAAGGGTTAACACTAAACGTAGCTTTATGTATACCTATTTCTACCATGCTATGGTAGAAATACAAGACACACAATATAGTAACAAATATATATTTCTCTTTAGGTGCCATATGGACAGCAGTATACAAAAGATTACATAATAAACAATCTTTTGAGTTATATTGCTCCCGAGACCTTCGTTCCCATAATGGTAAGTATTACTTTATTTTCACATATTTTCACATAATTTATTAGCAGTTTAACACATAATTTATTTTACAGTATAAGACTATGGGATCCGAAGCAGTTTTTTATGTTGACGATCATAAAACAGCAAATGCACTTCTTGCCTGTGATCGAAAAATAACAACCACAGATGGTTTTAAACTTCAAGTTAGAGTTAAACCAGGTTTTCCTCATTGTGAAATTAATGATAAATTAAAAGAACAAATGAAGCAAGCTATGGTAAAACGATATGTTCAAGAAAATAATGCGTTAGACTTGTCAAAATTTCATCAAGATCCAGGTATGAACAAATCTTTACAGAAAGGTATAAATATTATTAAAAATAAATTAATTATTATTTTATATATTACAGATCTTGTTGCTGATTATTTTTGTGCATTATTTCGACCAGTTATGTTAATGACTGTATTGGACATTGTCGCAGAATATATCCCTAACTTGGAGGCTTTAAATTTAGATGGAAACAAATTGAACTTAATTGAAAGACTCAACGTCCTTCATAAAAAGTTTCCTAAATTGAAAATATTGTACATAGGCGACAATAAAGTAATTACATATTTTCTTTTTTTATAAGTTTCACAAGGAAAAAATACTATGTGTTATTCATAAATTTTTTCTTATTTCTAGATAAGAGAAATGCATCATTTGGATGTTGTCAAGGATCTCAAGCTAGAAGAATTAAGATTAGCTGGTAATCCAGTATGCAACAAGTATAAGTCCCGACAGAGTGAATATGTTAGGTAATGTATGGTTGAAATATTAACATTGTCATTCAAACCAGAAATTTATCTAAAATAATTTATATGTGCGTACGCTCGTTTTATCTTTTATTTGTCACATTTATTTTATGTTTTTTTTTATATTCAAATTTATTAATTACATATTTAGATTTCATGCTGATCTTTATTTTTTATTTATTTTTATTTTTCATTTAATTTCATTACATATTCAAAACTGTATAAATATTCAACAATACTTCTAATGTTTTCTAACATAAGTTTGCATTAATTCATGAGCATATATAAAGATAGTAAGTTTCTATTATATTTAATATTAGATTCTGAAATAATAAGGCACATGTTTTTAATTTTTTTTATTAATGCGGAGCCCCCGGGCTTCTATCTTTTCTTTCTTTTAAAACAGCGATGTGCGGAAGAGGTTCCCTAAGCTCCTGAGACTAGTAAGATATAGTTTTAAATTAACAACTGAATTAACTGCTATTTAATATATTTAAGAAAACCTAAGTATATGATTTATTTTACAGGATGGAATAGAACTTCCACGTCCAATCTTATTTGATGTTATGGACGATGCATCAAAAATACCTCCTACCCAACGCATATTCACTTCAAATGCTAAAGCTCAAGAAATAGCCAGTCAATTTCTGCAACAATATTTTCTGGTTTACGATAGTGGCAATCGTCAACCATTATTGGATGCTTATAATGAACACGCATCCTTCAGTTTGACTGTAAATACTAATGCTTATAATGCCAACAAGTAAGTCAATATTTCTAAATCTGATTTTATAATTTATTCAATGTATGCTTAATTACGATTTTAGCATATAATCAAATTTTAATTGATCTCTCTCTCTCTCTCTCTCTCTCTCTCTCTCTCTCTCTCTCTCTCTCTCTCTCTTTCTCTTTTTTTTCATTTTTTTTTTTCATTTTTTTCAGATTAAACTCTTATATTGGAGAAAACAGAAATTTATTTAGAATAAATGATGCTAATAGAAGACAAAAACTACTAAAACAAGGAAAATTGCCTGTAGTATCATTTATCTCTGAAATGCCACAAACTAAACACTTTTTAAACACATTCACGATGGACATTAGTCTAGTTACTGTAAGTATCTTATTTTCATATAAAAATGAAATTTTAAATATATATTAACTTTATTATCTTGTTCTAATTAACTTTGTAATTTTACAGGAAAGAATGATGTTTGTCACAGTAACTGGACTGTTCAAAGAGCTAACTAAAGAAGAACATGTCCGGTACTTTAATAGAACTTTTATTATAGTACCACAAGGAACTGGATACTGTATTTGTAATGAACAGTTACATATCAGTAACACAACTGAAACGCAAAGAAAGCTCATATTTAACAATACCGATAAAGAATCAATATCAGAAGAACCAATGGCTGAAGAGCCAATGTCTGAAGAACCATCGATATCAAAAACATCAAACTCTGCTGCTGCAGGAACAGTTCCGGAATTGTCGGAAACTGTAAAACAACAAATGATTGTAACATTGAGTCAACAAACAAATATGAATCTGGAATGGAGTTTAAAATGCTTGCAAGAAGTTCAATGGAATTATGAAAATGCTTTATCTGCTTTTCAAGAATTCTTCAAACGTGGCCAAATACCATCAGAAGCATTTAGTAAGTAAATTTTAATATTACTAGAAAGTTTAAAAGATATTCCAGATTTGTTTTGTTTAGTGTAAATCATCTTACTTAATTTTCAATAAGGTGCTCAAGTTTTGGATATTCATAACATTTTTGAAAAATATTGTAATTCATAAAACAAACAGATTAACAAATGTTTTAAATTTATTATTCTTAAATGGAATGTTTATCCAAGACATTTGTAATTAAATATTATGGTAAATTAGAAAATAATATCTAAAGTCAGTTTTCAGTTCATATTCTATACCATAAACGTGCAAATTTATCATAGGAGACCAAAAATTTTCCTACCACTGTTATTTTATTATTTTCACTTAAGTATATATATTCTTCCTTTTTTGATACAATTTTATGAATTGTTTATTTATTAATAAAATATGAAGCACGATGATAAATACTTACTGCTCTACCTTGCAATTACAAAAGGCATTATCTCTAAGAAAAATGGGTTTTAGGAAAGTATCATTTAAAATTTTTACATAAAATTGTACATATTGGCTTTTTTAATTACACGGTAGTACTAATGAGAGTAAAAAGTTACCAAGGAAAAAATAAAATTAACAGTGAGAATAAAGATTAATTTGCTCTATGAAATAAATTTGCACGTCTATGATCTCTAGGATAACAAATATTTTTATGAAAAAAGAAAAATGAAAAAAAATAACAAAAACTAAAAAAAACAAAAAATCATTCAATCATTTTTCAACGTAACTATACGATATTTTCACAAAAATTTGACTTTATAAATCACACATGACTTACATCCTTGTTCATTCGTGATTTATGATATTTTATCACATTGATAAAAAATATTCAACAAACTATTGAATCATTATGCGCAATCAATTTTGATTGCATAGTTATCCATAACTTAAGCTTTTTTTTTTTTTTATTACCTTCATAAAATAAGAAAGGAAAGAACTTAGCTTCTTTATTCTTGTATATAAATCTAATAATATGTTACAAATAATGCATGTCATCTACATATTATATTTGTCTGCTTTGTTTATTTAACTTTCAAAGTTATTAGTAAAAATGAAATTTTTAAGTATTACTCATGTAATACTATTCTGTTTTAGTTACCATTATAGTTTCTCAATTCATATAAGCTAAAGCTAAAAACACAAAACAATTTTTCTGAAATATAGCTATTTCAGTATACATAATAATATATTGTATGTTTTAAATATTTTATAAGAAATGAATGTAACTCTGAAAGTTAAACGATAACATACAAATGCAGTATATATTTACTTGTAAGATATAAATAATTATATAATAAATACATGGGTATTACAAAAGTCGCTTTATCAAGTAAAACAAAACAAAAAAATTTATATTGATTTTTTTTCAAAATAGAATTATAATATTTGGTTTTTCATTTCACAAGATTTGAATCACTAGTTACAATGTTAAAAAAAAAAAGAAGTATGGACCCATGATGGTACTACTCTAAATATCAACCAAACAAAAATTTCTAATTTATCTATTTGATAAAGTGGCTTTTACGACATCCCTTACATTAATTTTAAATAAGTTATACAAATAAAATAATTTTACGCCTATGAAGGTACAAAATCAAAAGAACGAAAAACTTGTGAATTAAGTACACTTTTCGATAATTCACAGATGAGATATCTCTGTAATTATAATAATTAATTAATAATTTATAGGTAAAGTCATAGTTTAAAACATTTCATTTTATATGGATAAATGTTAAGAAATCATACAAAATTATTTTGATTTCAAAATTTCAATAGATTTTTACATACAATAGATGGATAATAGCTCATACAGACAAAAAAAATCAATATTATTAGGGTGTACACATTTTTACATACTTGAAATAAGCAAATTTAAAGTTAAATGTGAGTATAAATTCATTAATATCTGAAATTTCTCTATATTTTATATATATAGCATTTTTTTGTGATCATAATTATCACATTATTATTTTGATGTTTATTATTAATAGTCTTATTATTTCTATTATTATAATTATTATTATGAATATTATGGTTCACATAAAGTACAAAATTTAAGTTGAAAATGCGTGAGGTTCTAAACATACAATATATATTTTTTTTATTTTTTTTTTTTTTT